GATCGCGATCAAGAAGGCTTCGCGGAAGAGGAGTTTGAAGGATGGGCTTCGATGACAGTTGGCGACAGAGGCGTTCGGCCTTTGTAGTGGAAGGAGTTCGCGTGGCAGAGGATCGCGGTTTCGCAGAGCAGTTTGCGAACAGCAGTTTGCGCGCGCGAAGGATTCGCGAACAGGCGCGGTTCTTCGAAGTGTTTGCTTGCGGGAAAAGGAATTTCACGAACGGGTGCAAAGCAATTCCCGTGAAACAGTTCGTGCGACAGGTAGAGGAGATTGGTTTCGCGCGATCAGTTGGTTGGTTTCGCGCGTTCAGTTGGTAGTGGCGAAGGAATTTCCTTCAATAGGCGCCAACCGCGAACAGGCGCATCTTCGCGCTAGGGATTCGCAGGAGTCAGAGCAGTTCGACATGATCAACAATCCGTGGGAAGCAAAGGCTGTCCACCGCGAACAGGAGCCTTGTTTTACGGAAAATCTGAGGAATTCGACCAGTTAACTTCACCGGTTCGTTGCAAGAGATTTTGCGAGAGGTGGAGTTCGGTAGGGTGCAGGAGGCGAGCAGACACGATTATTTCGTGAACAGGAGTTTCGTGGAGGTATTCCTCAATCAGATTCTCAATCAGATGCGAAGGGATTCGTGGCTTGCAGAAACAACAATTGGCCGAGGTATTGGTACGAACAGGAAAAGTGCTTCGTGGGAAAATTATTCACAAATCACAGAAGAATCGCGGGATAGTTGATGCATTTGACAAAGAAAATTTCAGGTTTCTTTGAATTTATTTACGGAGTATTTTCTTTTGTTTTTTGAAGCAAGACATGAAAATACAGTGCAGAATTAAATTTCAAATAGCAAAGTCTAGAGCAAAATTCGAGATAGTGAAGTTCGATGGAACCGGGAATTTCGGATTGTGGCAAATAAGGATAAAAGATTTGTTAGCACAACAAGAAATTTTGAAGGCTTTGCGGGTTACGAAACCTGATAATATGGAAGATGAAGATTGTGAAAAGTTACAACTTCGAGCGGCACGTACCATACGTTTATGTCTGACATATGAGATTATGTATCATGTTATGAATCTGAAATCTCCAGGAGAAGTATGAAAGAAACTGGAAAAAATTGAAATCTCGGTTTATGTCCAAATCTCTGACGAATAAACTATATCTAAAGCAAAGACTGTATGGGTTGAAGATGCAGACAGACACTGATTTGGTTCAGCACTTGAATGTCTTTTATCAAATAATCACGGATCTCGCACGGCTTGGTGTGAATATTGTGGATGAAGATCGAGCAATGATTCTTTTGTGTTCATTGTCTACTTCTTATGAACATCTGGTGACTACTCTTACATATGGGAAAGAAACAATTAAAATTGATGAGATTACTGCAGCATTGTTGGCTCACAACCAGCGGAAGCAGAATGCAGAGGAAAGCTCTCATGGTAATTGTTTATATGCCAAGGGTAATCAAGATCGTGAAAGTAAGGAGGAGAAGGAGAATTCTGGAAGGCAAAGTTCCAGGTCAAAGCCTAAAGGCAAGAAGATTCGTTGCTTTAAGTGCAAGGAACAGGGACATATGAAGAGAGATTGTCCAATGCTCAAGAAGAAGACTCGTGATGTATCTTCCAGGGCTGTGAATATGGTGCAAAGTGACATTACAGATTACAGTGATGGTGTTGTGCTTTCAGTTACAATGACTCAGTTAAATGATTGATGGATTATTGATTCAAGATGTTCTTATCACATAACACCTAACATGGAGTGGTTTACTTCATACAGGTTATCTGATTATGGTTTAGTCTATTTGGGTGATAATAGACGTTGTAATATTGCTGGTATTGGTAAAGTCAGAATTAAGATGTATGATGATACTATTAGAACATTATGTGATGTCAAGCATATTCCAGAGTTGAAGAAGAATTTGATTTCCTTGGGCACTCTACACATAAATGGTTTCATTCCTAAGGCAGATGAGGATAGGGAAATCATCAGAATTGTTAAGGGTGCACTGACTGTGATGAAAGGGAAGATCACTGTCTGTAACATCTATAAACTGATAGGGAGTACAGTTGCAGGTGGAGATCGCTCTGTTGAATCATATGATGAAAATGCAACAGGAACTTTGACCAAGCCAGGTTAGATGGTTTGGTTGCCCAACCCACTTTGGTATAAGAAACTCCATGAGATATTTCTTCTAAGGGGCAGAATATTCGCAAGGTGGAGATTTTTTCTTCTAACGGATTGGATATTCGCAATGTGGAGATTTTCTCCTAAAGGGGCTGAATATTCGCTAAGGTGGAGATTTGTTTGGTAGGCACATATACCGGGTTATGCATATCTCCTAAGGTGATGGATATTCGCCAAAGTGGAGAATTGTTAGGTATGGCTCATATCTAGGGAGTTGGGGTTTCTTAGTGAAGAGGTGTGTCTCCTGATGAAAAGGAGTGTCTCTTGGAATAAAAGGGTTTGGGGAGAGCGAGGGCGTGATTGTAATTTATCTGTGGGTTTTGTATATATCTATATATATGTGAAACCCTATGGGAAAGTTGTAACTTCTCTAAAATAGTGAAACTGTCGCTCGCTCCCGAGGACGTAGGCAATTCTTTGCTGAACCTCGTTAAATCTCTGTATTCTTCTTCTGGTTTGTGTCGATTCCTATTTTATTCCGCTTCAATTTTACAACATTCTTCTATAATGAGTACCAAATATCCTTGGAAGTTTCTTTGCAAAGAATAGCATCCAAAATGGACTGATCAATGGCTTGAAAGATATAATTTTTTGCCTTCAAATTCTTTAACTTTCTTGCTTCTAGTTCTGCGTTTTAGGTTTCCTTCATCAGGCAGAGTAAGCGCATAGGCCTCTTATTATCCTCGCAACTATCTGTTGGATGCGGAGGGGAAGTGTCTGCCGGAAGTGTGTGAGTTTACTGATGCTGTCATTCGAGCTCACGACTACGACTGAAGTGGCGAGCGCCTTCGAGGACAAGAATTACGGTGACAAACCAGAAGTATTTGGGTTGTAGAGCAGAGGCAAAGCCACCGAAGAGTTTGGATCCCCAGCTTTCGCTGCCTCTGTTGTTTCTGCCATGAGGACATCTTACTATCTCTAACTGGATGACGTTAGTGTTATCAACAGCCTCACCCTTAATCTCCAATTTCTTACTGTTCTTCTTTATCTATTTTGTTTTCTGAACTTCTTTATCCCATCTTGTTGAGTTTTCTCACAACAAAAAAATAATGGAAAAAGATAGGGAGCGTGTCTGCGTGACAAAGGATGATATAAGACTTGTCCTAGGATTTATAGACTGAGAAGCTCGACGATATTAACTCATAAAGAATAAAGTTACATGAGATCCATTAAGGATGGTTGAGCTATACTAGGTTATTGGTCGAAGCTTTTGCTTGACGACTGTAACCTGTTATAGAAGAGGTTGAAAAAAATTCGTCAAAGATTTTTAATCTATTCAAGGCTGTTAGTCGAAGTTTTCTCCTTGACAACTGTAGCCTGTGACGGAAGAGGTCGAATCGAGTCCCCCTAGAACCGATTTAGCCAAAAAAAGGTGTTAAAATGAATGTTGAGGGTATTTTCCTTGGTCACTAATTCAAAGGCTCTTGAGATTTTATACGTTTTCTAGTTTAGTTTATTACCCTCAACGATGAATTAAAGCGTATAATTTATGTATTAAGAAAATACTAACTTTTATTATTTTTTAATTATATTTGTGGTATAATATTTAAAAAAATATAAATTTAGAAAAGTTTCATAATAATAATTTCAAAAATATTCAAAGTTTTTGGAAACGAGGCTAACTTAAAAAAATAAATATGAATTGAGCTGAAACATAAATAAACTAAAAATTAAACAAAGTCCTCGTTAAAAAAATAGTTGTGGAGTTACTGAATAAGAATCTGATGCTAAAAAAGTTGCGGTGACTACTATATATAAATTTTTAAATCAGACTAGACCAGATGGAAAAACACAAATTTCAGCAGAAAAAACCGCCAGATTGCAATTTATCCAAATAGATAAAATTGCATGCCACCTCTGCCCAAAACATAGGGTCCGTTTGGTGCAGCTTGTACGTTTTATGATAAACTGTTTATCCTGAAACGCGGCCCGCGGGTCGATCGTAGCGGCCCGTGTTTAGTGTAAAAACTCAAACGCAGTTTCGGATAAGTTGGTGAAAC